AGCTTTTCTTCTGTCCTTCCTAATGGAATAATGCAGTTAAAAGCTGGCTAAGAGAGGTGTCTTTAAGAAATCCAGAAGCCATCAACAAAAAATAGAAATATTTGATTATATAAACGAATATTGACATTTCCGTATGGCAAAGATACCATAAACAAAGAAGAGCAATCAAATGAAGAATCCCCACAATGCCCAATGTACAACTCAGTGTGTAGGAAGATTTCGCCGAGAAGGAAGAGAGATCTGAACAGACAAATGGATGCTCAACTCCCCTAGTCATCAGGGAAATGCAAATAAAAGCAAGACAGGTCTAGCCTCATCTATTAGGCAAAATTACAGGAGGGCACATACTCAGGGTTGGCAAGGATGTTGGGAGTGGGTCCTCTCATGCATGCTTGGTTGGAATGTGAATTACCACAGCCTTGAATTACCACAGCCCTGCAATTGTCAATATCTATTTAAAAATAAATATCCACTTTGAATCAACAATTCCATTTGGAGGGAATCCATCCTGTAGCAGTAGAGGCACCAGTGTGAAAGGGATATAATATTGCTATACTCTTGCTCTTTGTAAGAGCAAAACCTGGAAACATGCTGAATGTCTCCCAGTAATGGAGTAAATCACAGTCCATCCAGACTATATAGCTTACGGTGCTACTATCAAAATGAAAGAGTAAAATGTGTATCTACCGACATGGAGGAAATCCTTGCTGTTGGAAGAGACTAACAGCAACGTAAACATCTAACGTGTTTATCTTTGCCCAAATACAGCAGGGAGGCGGGGTGCGTGGCTCGGTTCCCCAAAAGGATGTGTGCAGGGTAGGGGGGTCTCTCTCCCAGGGCAGGAGGATTTGCAGCCCTGTCAGTCACTGAGAGAAGCTCTGGCTTGGTCCCTCCTTGTCCTGTGAAGAGGATGCCAGGGAAGCAAACTTGTTCTCCCCCAAACCTCCCTCAGGCCCTAAGAAGTGGGGACAGGGGGCAGGAGACCCTCCCCAACGGGAATGCTCAGATGTCCTTGGAGGGGCTGATGCCTGGCTGTCTTTGGCTTCCCAACCACAAGAGGGAGCCTGAGAGCAAGGACTGCGAGGCCCCGGAACAGTTAACTAAGCCCAGGCTCTTTCCTTTCTGCTCCGGGTGGGTCTGTGTCTCTCTATTTGAAATGGCCCCTGGCTTCATGGTCTGTGGGCTGGTGGCCTCAGGAGGCAAACTTCTGAACAGAACACAGGCCAAAGCGGGCCCCACAGCAGTCAGGCAGTGGGCTCAATCAAAACCAGGCAGCAGGGGCGATAAAAAGCAATCGTTTTTATGTGAATTTCTGTGGGTGAGGGCGGGTGGGAGGAAAGGAGAGTGGAGAGGAGGTGGCCCTCTGTGTGTCCCTGAAAGATGCAATCAGAGAAAATGAACTTTAAAGAGCAGAGAGGTAACACTCAGACAGGAGGAAGAACCATCAGAACCACAGCGCCCGAGCCTTGAAGGTGCTGTCTGGGATCTTTTAGGAAGAGAATGCTAGTCGTTTGTTTGCAGGGACGGGTGGACATAGCCACTTAGAGCAGTGCGTGCAGGGGGAGACTTCTAACGTGCAACAGTCAGCTTATGTGTCCACCCGGTCTCCCAGCCACAGACCTGATTCTCTCAGCTCTCACTGTTGGTTACCAGACTATAGGGAGTGTGGATGGTTCGATGCAACCCGTCTCCTCTGTTGGGGATTCAACCCAGTTCTCAACAGGCAAGGGGTCAGACACAGGAGAGATGCCATACAGACTCAGGGCCCTGGGAAGTTCTTAGTAAGCCTGGCAGGACCTGTACAGGGCATGCTGCCTCCAAGGCCTCTCCCTCTGACAATGCACGGGGCAGTTTGGGAACGCCTCTTTGGAAACTGTTTTCCAATCAGATGCACACACTTTTGAAAGCTCTCTCCTTGAAGAGTATGGGAGGAGCCATAGACATTTGGACCCAAGTCTGGTGGATGAGTTGAGTCTCAAATAAGACTGGTTTGAGTCACAAAATACAGGAGTTGGGAGCTCCTCTAGAGCAGTGGTTGGAAGTGTGGTCCCCGCCAAGTAGCCGTAGCAACCGGGAACTCATCAGACCGCAACCCAGGCAGCTGATTCAGAACTTTGAGTTGGGGACCAAAGATCTCTCCAGGGAATTCTGATGCGTGCTCGAGTATGACAACCTCTGCTCTAGTGAAATCTCTCTAGACCATCCCAGGTAGGTGGAGTTCAGCTAGCCAGACTCCTCTTGACTGTATACACGACCTGTGTGATCGTGTGTGAGGTTATGTGAGTGTGCGGGTCTATGAGTGTGCTTTTGTGGGATCACGTCTGTGGATATTTAATGATCTAGACGAGTCAGTTTTACACTAAAAAAAATCAGGGGTGTAGACTTTGCTGGGTCACAAACCCTAGAAAATCAGATTAAATTGTGTAAATTACCCCCGAGGAAAACGCACAGGCACAAGAATACTGCCTGAAAAGATCTGAGTACAATTTCAAGGCCCTGACTACCTGGTTAAGAATTTCTGATGTTCACAAAATCCTTCCTCCAAATTATTTTTCCATTTGAGGACGTGTCGTTGCCTGTGTGATTCAATTCGGACAGAAGGCGGCGCTATAGAGACAGAATTGTGGCCTTTTTGCCCAAGCAACTCTGGAACAAGGGGTGTGGGACAGTGGAGAGGGTATGAAGGTGACTTCTTCATGTCTGCGCTTATGAGAAGGTCGACTATTGCTTCCTTTCCTTCCCCCTGCAAACCCAGGGTTCTCTGAGTGTCTCCATCACCCAGTTACTCTGATCTGCAAGAGTTACAGATGCATCCGATAATCACAGAACGACAGCCTGGGAATCTACCTCCAGTTTCTTAGTCCAGCCCCATTTTACAGCTGAAAAATGGGTGTCTGCATAGGTGCTGGCTCTCCATACACGTGGGGTCCTAGAGACTGACAGGTAGGGAGTGCGGTGGAGGCGGGCAAGGGGGCAGGAGATTCACCAACTGTGTATTTAATCAGGCATATGAACATCCGTGCACTCCAGGCTGGGCTATTGTTAGCTCTTC